CCCCAAAACCCCAAAACCCCCTATTAGGAAAAAAGGACAAATTTTAGTGGAATAAATGTCTAATTATTAAAAATAAAATACTAATACTAACTTACTTAGTTTATTCAGTATATAAGGTGCCATGATTATGATTTATGTACCACTTATTCTTTTGATAGCCTACTTTGTTTGGGATCGCTATTTCAGAGTTAAACTTAGAATTAATTTCTATGAAAAATAGGGAATTCAGTTTCCTGCAGGTTTTGTCCCAATTTTCGGTAGTTATCCAAAGATAATGAAATTTATGGAATAGCACACGACAAATAAATATCCAATCATTGATTTCATTAATTACGCCTAAGGAGAAAATCCTCCAATATATACAGGGATGGTTTTTGGAAAATAAATGTGTATAATGATTAACAGACATGAACCATTGTAGGATCTTTTCATTTCTAAAAATAAATTTTTCGACAAAAATCCATTCTCTGCCAATTTACTTAAATAAACTTTAGGAGATAGTCATGTCTTTCTAAAAACAAATGAACTTTGGGCTAAGAAAAGAAAAGTCATCTCTGCCTCACTCTATAAATAAAAGCTAGTGCAAATGGTAGAGACAATGAAAGATATTGCTAGTGAAACAATGGTAGAGTGGGAAAAGCAAGGAGAGTTAGATGTTGTCACTGAGATAGCAAACATGATGATGAGGAATATTTTGGCATGTGTTTTTGGAAGATATAATGACAATCCTTCAGTCTAATATAAAGAGAATGGAGAAATCAAGCAACTTAAACTTGGATAAAGTATTCAATAAAATATAGGAAAGGGTTTAGAACGTGAATTCTAACTACATCTTATGCTTTTTCCAGAGCTCTACAATTAATATATCTCTAAGTAAGATAGGGAGCTTGTTTTCAATGTTGACTAAGGCAAAAATTACATCTTAGATTTAATAAAGAGCAAGAGAGAACAATTTGCAAAGACTGGTAAGTATGAAGGAGATGACTTATTGTCTTCCCTTCTCTAAGATGAATTATTCTAGAATGATGACTAGATGATTATTAATGAGTGTTTGACCTTCTTTTCAGCTGCTGCCTAAACCACTGCAGTATCTATCACTAATTTTCTCTGCTATATGGCTTAAAACTAACAATAGGAGGAGAAATTGAGAAATGAATTGAATACTGTACTTAAGAACTTTGGGAAAGAAAATGAAAAACTTGTAAAGGAACTGAACATGGAGATAATTGAAGACTTTAATTATTTGAAATACTGCTTTTACGAAGCTATTAGAATAGAGCCACCCATTGCCTTATCTTCTAGCTGTCAAGTTAATGAAGATATGGAGATGTCAGGGGTAACTATTAAGAAAGATGAGGTGTTAATTGTGAATATTCATTAGATTCATCATAACTCAGACTAATGGATTGAACATGATAAATACATTCCAGAGAGATTTGATCCTAACTCAAAATACTTCCTTACCCCTGCAGGAACTCCGAGACATCAGACTTCATATATCCCATTTCTTGGGGGAAAGAGAATTTGTCTTGGCAAAACTTTTGCTGAATATTCATTTAAGACTATAGTACCTATCATGATGAGTGGCCGTAAATTTAGATTGACAAATGAAGAATATCTAACATCAAAGCCACACTACGATGCAATTATGTTCAAGAAACCAGTAATCAGAATGAGACTAGAAAAAATATAAAAATGAAAGAAAAGAATATAGAAGATAATAATAAATCTTACTTCATTAACAATGAATTATAAACTTGATTAATCTTTAATTTCAGATTTAGCACCAATTTTACTAATTTCGATTCACGGGGTTTTGGGGTTTTGGGGTTTTGGGG